GGTAGTAGGTAGTAGGTAGTAGGTAGTAGTAGTAGTAGTAGTAGTAGTAGTAGTAGTAGTAGTAGTAGTAGTAGTAGTAGTAGTAGTAGTAGTAGTAGTAGTAGTAGTCGTAGTAGTAGTAGTAGTAGTAGTAGTAGTAGTAGTAGTAGTAGTAGTAGTAGTAGTAGTAGTAGCCCTGAGTGGCCGAAGAATCGTTCCAAGACGCCCAAGATGGCCCCCAGACGGCCGTAGCGCCAAGAAACCGCGGGGAGACTCAGGAGGCTCTCCAAGAGCCTGAACAAGCAAAAACCTCCCAGGCATTCGTCACCCCATGGCCTCCTGGAACGCCCCGGCGCCTAATGAATTGGCGAGCTAAAAACGTGCGCCAAGCCAAAGCGGGGGCGCAACTTTGAGAAAATTTCGCTCGGCGCCCAAGAGAGAAGGTCATCTCATTCACTTCGAGCGGGGGGGGGGCGTGCCGCGCCCAGTCTTGCCGTGCACTTTTGCGGGGTGGACGACAATAACAGCTATGTGGGCAAGCGAAAATCAGCATGGCATGGCTTCTGACAAGTAAGGTGGTCCCTCCCGCCTTGGGGTTGCCCCAGAAGTGCGCGCGCGATGTGCGCCGCGCCCCATTCCTGCCGCGCATTTCGCATCGTCGACGACAAGACAGGCCATGATGAAAGGAAAAACGGCAACTCTGTATTGTTTTTTACAGTCAGGATGGGAGGGCCCGCAGCCCGCATGGACGTCCGCGCGCGATGCGCGCCGCGCCCCATTCCTGCCACATATTTCGCACCGTCGGCGACAAGGCAGGCCATGCTGAGAGGAAAAAACGGAGACTTTGTATTGATTTTTACAGTCAGGATGGGCGGGGCCGGATCGACGGCCGCGCGCGATGTGCGCCGCGTCCCATATGTGCGCCGCGCCCCACTGCTGCCACATATTTCGCACCGTCGGCGACAAGGCAGGCCATGCTGAGATGAAACAGCAAAGACTTTGTATTGATGTTTCATACTCAGGATGGGCGGGCCCAGATTGACTGCCGCGCACGATGTGCGCCGCGTCCCGTTCCTGCGACGCTTTTCGCATCGTCGACGACAAGGAAGACGATGTTGAGAAGAAAAACGGCCACTTTGTATTGATTTTTTGCAGTCCGGGTGGGAGGTCCCGGATTGGGCCGCTATCGGCCGGAATACGAGGTAGGTGGGGGTATATTCTAATAAGGAACAAGGATGGGGTGGGGTGGGTGGGGGTGGGGTGGGGTGGGGTGGTGGGGGGGGCGGAGGTGGGGGATTGCTGATTGGAGTGCCCAGCGGGCCCAGCATTGGCAGAAGGGGTGGCGAGTGGTAGCTCATCGCTCCCCGCAGCGCTCATCGGACAATGTGCGCTAGATATGACGACGGCCCAGGGATTCTCATGGGCTGAGATTCTTTTGGGCGTGGATAAGTTCTATGACCATGTTGGGCTTTTCAAGGTGGCCAGCGTGGCCACGAGTCGGCTATCTCCTTCCAGTGCTAGCGCTCGGCCTGGCCATCCACCGTGGCCCGAGGAGGCTCCGAGCAGAAGGAATTGCTTCCAAACTGATTTGCCCGGGTAAGTCCCTCATTGTTGTCTGCAACGAGAGCGTGGTCCTAGCGGAACTTTCTCTTTGGCAGGTGTTAGAGTCCACGCGCGCTGATTCTAGGTCCCTAGACCTCTCCGTGTGGGTGGGCGACTTCGGACATGCGGAGATTGGTGGGGGGCAGATGTTGTGTCGCGCGCCAGGGCGGTGGCGATAGCTTTGGCCGACAGGCTCAAAAAAGCGGGCATCAAAATTTCCAGCAAGTCAGCTCTGGTCATGTGTCCGCCGCGCCTTGCCAAAGAGAACTCACGCGCCCTAGCCGCGGCTGGGGTGCCGCTTAAGTGCCCCGCGCAGGTCGGGGATTTGGGCGTGGATGGCCACGCGGCCAGGCGTGATTCTTCAGTCATCAAAAGCCGCGTTGAGAAAAGGTCAAAAGCGAGCCGTCTAGATTTCCAAACTGGCCAGGGTTGTTCTCGCGGGCCTTGGCCAAGACTGGGCGCAGACCAGCAGTCACGTTTGGGCAGATGGCACAAGGCCTCAGCCCCAGCTCGCCTTTGAAATTTCGGAGCTCGGTTGCAGGCTTCACAGGCTACAAGAGGCCACGGGGCGGCCCAACCGCTTGCATACGATTGGGCTTCGAAGAGAAGACGACCCCATGGTCCAGGGGAGTGCATGTTTTCACATCGCGGCAAGAGGTTGTAGCCCGCGTGCCCGAGCGAATGCGCGCCATTGAGATCGTCTGGGGCAGGGCGGCCACGCATCTGCAGGCTGCCGCCAGGCATTAGGCCCGAGTCAAAGGCCTCATTGGAGCTGTTGTTTGTCGCCTCATGGACCTCCATTGGGACCCCCTTGGCCCCGCCTCCTGGAGGACCCCCAGGGCGAAGTCCTTCTCGTACTAGAGCTTGGCAGAGAGCATCTGCTCAACTTTGAGACGAAGCGAGCTTTAGACCATGAGTGTTGGATTCGTGCTGCCAGTTCCCATCCGTATGGTAAGGGTGCCCAGGACGGTGTGGATTTCACAGTCTTGAAGCAGCACTTCCTTTCTCTTACACGTCGCAAGGATTGCGATAAAGCAGGGGTTGTGCGCATGGTGGCCACGGAGGGCCTGTGACCGGCAGCGGGGCGTTTTGGCGGCGAAAGCCGCGGGGGCATCCGTATCGCCCCCTCCCCTCCTGACGGCTCCCTTGCTGCTGCTGGTGCCCCTGCTGCAGCGGATGCCTCCTCGTCCCAGAGCAACCCGAGGCCCCCGCGGGCTCCCGCTTCGTTTGATGACCCAGAGGGGGGCCCTTTGGAAAACAACCTTTCTCGGAAGCAGAAGGAGGCATGTTCGAGAGGGAGGCCGACCGGGCCTTGCTCCGCAGCGCCCCGCCCATTCCAGAAATTTCGAATTCCCAATTCTGCCCCAGGTGCCAAGAGTGCGGAGAAACTCTTGTCCACCAGACCTGGGAGTGGCGCTGTAATTTCGAGCTGCCTGACGAGGGCTTGCACTGGGATCTCCGAGTCGACGCGCGCGAGGGGTGCCAGGATGAACCGTGCTTCTGGCTGTGTGGTCTCATGCCCATTGGCGTGGACCTTCAATGTCCAGCACGTGGAGATCCAGGGAGTAGAGAAGCTGCCCCCCTCCCTTCAAGGTGAAAAACTACACCTCCCCCCTGGGACCTATATCAGAGGTGATGGGTCTGGAGGCCCTTATTCCGCCGACCCTGGGCTTCGAAGGTGTGGATGGGGGGCGGCCATTCTCCTAGGAGGTGCGATTTTGGGTTGGGCCAAGGGGCCGCTCCCCACATATGAGCAGACTGTCCCTTTGTCTGATCTGTGGGCCTGCTATCGCATTGCCCAGCTGACGACGGGAGGCCTCGTTCTCGTCGGAGATACTGATTCTGTTGTCTGTGGGATTAATTCTCGGACCTGTTCTGGCAGGAGTGTGCTGGGCGTCGGGTGAGAGCCGTCAAGAGTAAGTCTCACGAATCCGCCTCCGATGCTGTGCTTGTTCGACTGAGCCGTTTTGAGTTTTTGGCGGCTAATTTTGTTGCGGACAAGCTAGCTGAGGAAGGAGCCAGAGAGGCTCAACTCCCCGTTGGGCCATCACCGAAGTGCTTCGAGTTGACGCTCTCAGTAGGAGGGTCCAGGAGCACATAATGACGGTTTCCCATCACATTGCCATGAACGCTGCCCAGATTTATGGTGCCAGTAGCGCGGAGGACAGGAAGCGAGAAGGCAAGCGTCGAATATTTGCGAAGCTTGATGTCCTCTCGGCGCTATGCTCCAGTACGTTCCAGTGCCTGGTGGACAGTTCCTCTAGCAAAGCCCTCAGGTGCTCCAAATGCCTCACGGCCCCGTCGGGGGCTGCGGAGGACTTGCTCCGTTCGGAGTGCCCTGGGCTCCCTGCGAGGATCCATCCGTCCCACCAGAGGCTCCAGAGGCTTCGGGGAGTCTTTTGGTTCCGTGGATGTGGGGGCTACGCAGCTTCCACTTTTATTCAGCTCTCTATGCCCTGCCTGGAGAAGATCTCGGAGCATGGGGAGAGAGTTCTCAAAGCGCTGGAGGCGGGGAGGCCCCCGAGGGATATCAAAGCCTGGCCTGAGCCAGAACCTCAGCTGGACCTCCCGCCCCTAGTTGCGTTTTTCTGATTAGGGGAGGGGGCCCTGTCGCGGCTCGCTGGCTGGGTGGATCGCAGCCCAGTCGGTGAGTGATAAATTCTGAGGGGCCCCTCCGAACTTTTATAAAAGGGGCTCCGCCATGTGGACGCCGCCCTTTAGGTAGGCAAGAGGCAAGAGGCAAGAGGAGGAGGAGGCGGAGGAGGAGGAGGAGGAGGAGGAGGAGGAGGAGGAGGCGGAGGCGGAGGCGGAGGCGGAGGAGGAGGAGGAGGCGGAGGAGGAGGAGGAGGAGGAGGAGGAGGAGGAGTAGGAGGAGGAGGAGGAGGAGGGGCGGGGGGGGGGATGATGGGTGTAATGGGCACCAGGTGCCACGAATTGTGTATTTGGGCACGTTCTCTGCCTGGAGGGTCAAACATGCAGGGACTTGGTTACAAGAGTGAACGCATCTTGGGCTCGATGCGTCGGGGGGCCGTAACTCTTGTTTCGCAGTGAGCGAAAGGGCCCGACACACACATACCGCTGCAAGAGCGGTGGCGGATTTACCCACAGCAGGTCCGAGCCGTGTCGGCCCTGCGGCGGCGCCAGCGCGGGCGTTCGAGGTTGGACGCCGCCAATGGCCCAGATTCGCGCGATGTCGAACGGCTTGCGAAATCGGGAAGCCGCGATCGTTCAAAGGTGACCGATCCGCGCGGTGTCAGAAGCCACCGCGCAGGTCGTCACGACATGAACCTGCCGTGCACCCGGTCCTGGCCAGGCCCCATCCTGGGTCCAGGATCGGTGTGTACGCCCTCTCGGCTTGGCGAGGAAGGCAACCCAGACGTGCGATGTCCTGATTTTATCAGCACCCGTCGGTCGTTGAAAACAGGAGTTTTTGGATTCCCAGATCAAAATCTACTTCAAGCGCTCTTCTACTCTTCTACTTCAAGAATCGATATGCGTTTGAGGTGTTCTGCTGCGTACTTCTTCCGACCGGCGTGTGCGGGCTCCCCAGAAGTCCTGACCCTTTCCTCGGGACTGGCTCCTCCTCCCGAGCCGTTTCTTGTCGGCCCCGAGGCTCGGGGGAGGGCCCCCCGGAGGCTGGACAGCGACCAGGCACTTCCCCTCCGGATCTCTCCAGGGCGCGGTGCAGGTACTCCAGATTTCGTAATAAAAGGGAGGGGGTCTGGACCCTCCAAGACAAGCCATTTCAGACCCCCCCCGTGGGAGAACCCTCCAAAACACCGTCCCCAGACCCCCCCAGGCCCTCCAAGATAGCCTGGAAGAGACCCCCCCCCGAAATGAGACCCCCCTCCCTTTGTTACGAAATCTGGAGCACCGATCCTGGGGCCAGGGGTGGCCTGGTCAGATCGGCGCAGGGCGCACGGTTGGCGCCCCCCGACCCCGGGGAAACGCGGGGCGGCGGGGGCGTGCGGTGCGGGGGCCGCGCCAGGAGCAGTCGCAGAACGAGCTGGCGCTGCGCCTCGCGCAGGCCTCGCGGCCGTTCTCCCGGGTCCCCGACGGTGCGATCAGTTTTCGATCCCCAGGCATGCTCGCGTCGTGACAGAAGATGCGGCGCCAGGTTTTTAGGCGAATCGGGCCTCCAGGGGCCGTCGCTGGGCACCGGGACCGTCGAAAAACGGCTCAGCATGAAAAACGGGCCCAAGGGAAGGGGTCCAGACTTCTGGGGACCCTGGATTGATAAAAGCAGGATGTGACATTGCATTTCTGGGTCCCTTGCTCTCTCGCCCAATGTTTCCGACTCTCTCTCCTATGTGCGCAGTCTCCGAAGCATGCAATTCGACTCAAAAGGCTAACGCCATTCCGCCGACCCCCAGAAAGGGTACGGTGTCAACTGTTCGCCATGAATTCAAGCATGATTGAAGCTTTTGTGGCAGTCCAGGGGCCTTCGGCCCATCCCGCCACCGTGCCTGGCTTGTGTCTCAGAGGCTTCGCGGGCGTCAGCAGGGGTTTCTGACGACTATGGGGGACAATTTGGGGTCCGTTGGAGGCTTCTTATGGGCTTCTTGGGGGCCTCTTGGCCCACCTTGATGGTCTCTTGTGCGCCTGCTGGCGGTCTTGGGGTGGAGACCTCCAAAAACAGTTCGACTTCCCAGCCTCTCTTGGGCACTTTTTGGGGCCCTCTTGGGCTGTCTTGGGCTCCTCTTGGACCGTCTGGGGTCCCTCTTGGGCCGTCTTGGGCCTTTGTTCGGGGCCTGTTAGGGCGTCTTGGTGCGATCATGGGGGCCTCTTGGGCTGTTTGGGACGCTGTTGAAACCAAACATGGCGAATATGCAACAAACTGAGCGTGCCTCTATAGGATTGGGAAGATTTGGGATCCTAGCTTGTGCACGCTGTGATGTAATCTTTGGCATCTTCTTGGAGGCCGCGGAGTGTAGATCTGGAGCCTCTGGAGGCCCTGGGGGATCGTTGCGGCCCCCCCCTGAGCTCTCCTACTCGGTTTGGGACCCCGGGGAACAGCCAAATGTTTCACACGCCTTGTCACCCCCAGCAAGCGGGGTCGGCGGATTCGTCGGGAGCCTTGAGACTGGGGTCAATGCAAACGGGGGTCAGCCAGAGCGCCTGATCTTGCAGGATCCTGCACGGCCAGGGTCGCATTGACCCGGGTTTGGGTGCAGGATCCTGCAGGATTTTTCAGGATCCTTCGCATTGACCCGTGTTTGGGTGCAGGATTTTTTTGCGGGATCTTGCAGGATTCTGCAAGGCCTGACTGACCCAGGTCTGGACTGACCCGGATCAGAAGATCCCCGATTCGTCTTCATTGGAGGAGGGGGCGGTAACCGAGATAACGGGCGTGACTGGGGGAGGGGGGGTGGGGCCAGTAACGTCACGATTCGCGCTAGCGCCGTTTGGGAATGCCTAGGGATGACGAATTCCCAGACGGCGCCTGCGCGAATCGTGACATCACCAGGGGGGGATCGAGCGGGGGGGTGGGGTTAGTAACGGGCGTTCTCGAGCATGATATCAGGCGGTCGCAAACATGGATCAAGGGGGCGTGGATTAGCGACGGGTCCCGTTTCCATGCGCAGATTTCCACCGCCGAGCGAGGCGGCACCAGCCGCATTTTGGGGAGGGCCCCTCCCCCGATCCATGGTTTTGGCGACGGTGCGCCAAATCCATGGATCGCTAATCCATGTTTGCGCGCCCCCGATAATAGTGAAATGGGCTCAAGCCACGCTGAGGGTGCCTGCCGGTTCTTCCCCGATTTCAGCGTTTCGCGGCGATTTTCGGGCCCCGGTGCAGTCGAGAACGTGTGTCCAGGGCGGAGACCTCTTCCCGCAGGGCAGGGGCCGGGGCCTCTCGGGCCGTGCG